AAAAAATCTTGAGTTTTTTAATACAAGATGAACTCAAACTAAAAAGAATTCAGGCGTTTTATCAATTCGCATTTTACCACCAAAAATTGAGGTCTAAATATTATTCAATTTTTTTATTTCATAACAGCATGAACTTATTTTAGCCTCTTTTTTTGAATATTTGATAGGTTGAAAAAAATGTTCAAGATTTTAACACAAAAAAATTGTAATGTCTACCCTGTTTTCTTAGCTTAATTGAGTTATTTTGAATTTCAATGTGCGCAAAATCAAGGCAAGCTAAAAGTTGCGCTGGCAGAACATGTTTCGTTTTTTTTTTCAAAAATTTTTGTCCAACTGCGTTTTTTTCATAATTGGTGTCCCGGTAATACAAGTATACAATTATGACGAGAAATGCGTTGAGAAACATTTAACCTAACAAGTTTTATATCAAATCTATTACTTGTTCAACAGTTGAAATTCTCATTTAGTTTGCCTTTTAAATGGTCTTACTGTCTTTTAAAATTTTGTCTCGAATTGAATTATGTAATGTTTCATTTACTCGATACAAATGCTGGACGAGGATGTTATGTATGTTTGGAAACAACCGGAATTGTTTCAAAAAACAAGTCTTTGATAAGGCTAACACAAGTTCGGTTCGGTTTGGTTACTTTTTCATCGATTTCGAATCTGAAACCAAACAAGACTGCTCGTATCAGGGCAAAGCCCTGACTGTTCAGTCTACTACTTGAAATCGAAATCGATGGAGTAGTGCTCACTTTAAAAGATGGATAAAATTTTCAGAAAAAAAAGAAGTAAATTATAAAAACTTTTCGACTTTTTATTGAAAATTTTCCCCATACGCTATGTAAAGTACAAAATGAGGATTTCGCATATATCAAAAAATTAAATACAGTAAACTTCATGTCTCAATTCAGTTTGGAAACTAATTTCAAGGCGGATTACATCTCTGCTAACGCGTTAAAACCACAAAACTTATCGCGCGTTTATTGTCTCAAATCGGCCAACTAGGCACGCTCGGACAAAAAAAATCTAGTTGAAAGGACGAAAAAACCACCCGAGCACAAATATTCCGGTTTTTTTTCTCTGGAAGTAATGCCGAATTTGGTGCGTCATATTTCATATTTCGGTGAAAAATGAAATTCTTGTTATGAAAGTGTGCCGGATAAGTTCCTCTTTATTGGGTTTGAACCATCATCAAATTTCGATGCTTGACCTGGGAGCCTAATATGAAATTATTCAAGTTTTCTTTGTCTGCGTGATGATCATTAAAACAATTGGGTCGAATCAATAACAAAATATTTTTGCGTGTAACAAATTGATCATAAATAGCGAAAAAATCAGGATATGATTGAGTTAAGGTTCGTTTGAGGTTGTTCTTGTAAGAAAACATTTGTTCTTTTCATTTCCCAGAGAAAAGAATAGCCGTGGTTCGATTCTAGCATCAGCATCGTTATAGAGGATTTTTGGAATGTTTTTGAGTAGTTTTTTTTAGTTTACCAGCCAGAGGTGTAACCCGAAAGTTAATTATTTAAGGTTAACTAGGCTATGGGTATCTTACAAGAGTTCACCTTGTAAATTACAGCGCACGTGCGAGTTGAACCCTCAATCATATGATTGCTTGGCACCATCACTACCGATTTGCCACAACGCCCCATTCCTATATGCGATAAGGACGTTAGTTTTTCGATCCCATCGCCGGATTTCGTGCATTTCGCTTTTCTGCTTCCGTGAGTTTGTCTGATATTAGAATATGCCCGGTCTTGCATTCCTGGTTTGGAGAAAGATCATCAATAGCCTCCCTGGGCTAATTCAGTAAAACATTTAGACCACAACCTTCTCTCCTTGATCTAGTCAAAAAAAATTGACCAATGCGTGGAATGAACGTGCCATAGGTCTTTTTTAGAGGTCAGTTCTGGGGTTGGGCCACCCCAGAAAGCTCGAACTCCCAGCAGCTCTGTCTTGTTTTTGTCCAAAGAAACCACTAACGGTCTTACCATAAATCGTTGCCAAGATTTACTAATTGAAATTAAAATTAATTTTAAAAGCAACTAGCCGGTTTTGTGCAATTAGCATAGAATGTTCCCATCAATCAGAAATTTATTTTCATTTTTTTTTGCAAAAAAAAATTTTTGTGCGTGTTGTGATGATAAAAAAAACTACGTCAATAGTTTTGCTGTAATTCTTGAATGAGTAAAAAAGTCGAAATTGATCCTTGTTTGGGGTAAATTGGGCTCGAAATTCGCAAAACGATTTAAATTATAACAATTCTGCTAAATTTTAAGCAAGTTTTTTCTTCGTCATTTCATACTTCAAGTCAACTCAATTCAATGCGTTTTTGTCTGGATAGTTTAAATCAGCGCCGTCATTGATCGCGCAGATATAAAAAAATGAAAATTAATCAAAAATATTGTAAAGATGGTTTTTAATTTTTTTTGCAAAATATTTTTTTCATTTTAAAAAAAGTCGAAATTGATCCTTGTTTGGGGTAAATTGGGCCCGAAATTCGCAAAACAATTTAAATTATAACAATTCTGCTAAATTTTTTCTTCGTTATTTCATACTTCAAGTCAACTCAATTCAATGCGTTTTTGTCCGGATAGTTTAAATCAGCGCCGTCCTTGATCGCGCAGATATAAAAAATGAAAATTAATCAAAAAGTATTGTAAAGATGGTATACATATTTTTTTGCGAAATATTTTTTTTTATTTAAAAAAAACTTTGACAAAGAAACGCTAAATGAAGCTTCCAAAACTAGAGCATCCAAAATTAGAGTTAAAGTTTTCATTACAAAAAAAAAAATTTTAATTGACTTTTTCTCTGGTGTTGTTCGCTCAAAATAAAACTTGTTTTCAAAATTTTCAAACGCGTTTTTCTCGTAATTGTTTATGGGACATTGTTTCAAAAATTAAGATCCATTCCGATGATATTTTGTAATAATTGATTTTGGTCGAAAGAAACAAGCCTGGTCGCTCACTATGTTTGCTTAAAATTAAAACAAAATCGAAATTTTCATACCAGTTTTTCTCAAGACTGAGAAAACACTCTGAAAGTTTTTCAATTAATTTTGAGTCAAGACTGAAAAAACTCTGCATTATTGATACATCACTAGACCTATTCCAATGATTATTTTTGGTTCCTGATCTTGGAAGAGAAACATAAAAACTTTAATCTCATCCGAAGACAAAATTCCTTACCATTTTCAATGGTCAGAGCAATAAGACTAATAATTAACATTCTGTTAGTCAGTTCAAGATTTAATTTCAATTTTTCGAGGGTGTATTTTTTCAACAACCGATCAGATTGATCATTAAAGACATAGTAAGTAGATATAGCATAGGCAGGTACCTGATTACATTCACACTTTAACATTACGAGGCCAATTTGTGAATTTTGTGAATTGTAAGCTGATTCCGCTTTAGGCTAAAGATTTTTTGCTGTTTCGGTTTCCACGGAAAAATAGATAAAACAGTTTTGCTCAAAACCGCTCCGAAAACATGCAATTTTGAGGAATTCCGCAACAAAACTGTTGAATCGGCAACACAATTTGCGGAATCCGGAACAGTTTGTGCAATCCATAAGCAAAAACTTATATGTATTTAAAACATCTAAGCTGTCGTCGAATCCGCAACTATAAAAGGAAACGCAAATTGTTAGCTGATTCCGCAAATTGTAAGCGGAATCCACATAAATTTGCGGAATCTGCAACAAACGTTGTTATTCGCTTGTTGCGGAATCCGCCACAAAGTTAATGTCCGACAAAGTACACGTTAAAGGGACTTCTTCGCGGAATCCACGGAAATTTTTCAAGTGGAATCTACTTATATTTTGAAACATCTTTCAAGACTTGTCTCTGGAATCCAGGAACATACAGACACAAAATTGTTCGCCTATCCGATGCACAGTTTGGCCTCGTAGAGAAACCATATACATCGGAGCATCAGGGTCTTATGTAACTTGGACACAAGATATTGTTCAAGAATATAGATTACCCATTTTTAGAAAACCTCTGGCTTAAGAAAACCATTTTTTGTCGACATAAAAAAGTTGGTCGACGTTTTCACAGACTGTTTATATGTGCCATTTATGAAAAACTGTTAATCCGTCCTTAAATGATCAAGTGAAACTTTTTTCACGCCCGCAGCTCGGAACCTTTCAAAACTCGTATTAGATTTTCTGCTTTTTTACTTCTGATTATAATTAACTATATTACCTGTGAACCGTCGGGAACTTTATTATAGGATGTTTTCCGCTCAATTGCAAATACTTCGACTAGTGATTAAGTATGGCATAAAAAATGGCCACTCAGCTATGGCGTCCCAAAATTGATTTTATGCAGGTAATTTTGTGGAAAAAAAGTATTTCCGATTTGGTGCTCTTCTGACTATTTAAACACTACGGTAATGAATTATATGAAAAAATAATCCAAAAAACTTCATTTTCTATACGGTAATTTTTGTTCTTCAGTGTAATGAACTTTTCAGCGTAGTCCTTAGTTAAAGTTTCATATTGTTTTTAAAACACAATAGTAAAATTGAAATTGAGGTTATTGCGAAAAATCGTCAGATCATGCCTTCGATTGAGAAAATTGTTTTGAGATCCAGACCATGTATTCGATCCCTTGCTATGGCTTCGATAGTGTAAGAGATAGAGCTCTCACTTGACCTCTATTTTAAAGTCTATCACAGCTAGACCTATTTAAGCTGCGATAGTGGTACCACGTGAAAGTTCTAGAAATGAAAAGTTTGCCTTGAGTCGCAAAAAAAGAGCTTTGCTCAACAAAAAAAAAACTGAGTAGGGAATGAAGAGAAGTAAATATAGCCGTCGGAGAGTGACTGAGTCAAGTCCTTTTGATGATATCAATAATGTATGCTGTGTTGACCAAAAATATAAAAAAGAGCATATATGCTTAATTAAGTTGATTGAATCCTCTGCTCAAAGTTAATTAAAAACAATTCGAATACAAAGCGTTGACCACTTTTGACCACTGAGCGTCAACACGAGTAAGTGAAAAAGTGAGCTGGTATCTTGTCACTTCAAATGTTCTTTCTCATGTTCCAGTTAAATATTGTGGACTTGAAGAGCTAAAACTGCGCCGGTTTGATCTCTTTTGTTGCTAGCTTGAAAATGCGTTTTGATACTGGTCTTCTATCAGCGCATGAATCGCGAGGAGATCCCGTTGGTGAAAAACGAACGAATGGCACGTGCTACAAAAGAGCGAAAATCATAAACCGGCTCTATAGTAAAAACATCAGCAAAATAAATATATTCAAAATATAACAACACCACAACCAACTGTACTGTAAACAGAACACGCTATCAGCACATTAGTAACATCTCTGCTAGACATAGTAAAAAGACAGCCTTACCGTCATCTTGTTCATCCAATTCTATCCCTATTAAAGCCAGATATCATCTGTTAAATTGTCAATCCTTGTTAATTACTGTTGACATTTTATTATTACCTGAGACTATCAAGTAAGTTATTCACTTCGAACGCTGCGAAATCATATTTTACGATTTATAGTTTTTCGCGTCAAAAATCAGGTAAAACACCAGGCTTGACATGCTAGTAGAAATTTGGCTGAAACCAAAATAATGGTTTTTTGAACTTTTAATTTAACACTTGCTCAAAAAAGCCCGTTTCAAAAAGAGTCCATTAATTTTGCACGATAAACCAGGAGTTCTCAACTGTTTCTGAGGATTTGGGTATGAATAGAATTCTTAGGATATAAGTATTCTAGCAGCTCTTTTTCAAGTTCAGACATGTCTGTGGCGGCTGGAGTGGACAGACTGATAGTGACGCCCTATAACAGCAGTGGCAGAGTGGTGCCCCTGAATGACCCCGAGTTCTCAACACTCACCTCTAAGCCCCCTAGTGGCAGGGCCAAGTCAGGACTCCTCAGGGCTAAATCGATGACTATAAAGCCCACGACTACAACTAGCATGCCACCTAATGGCATCAGAAAGACAAATCCGAACGCATTTCACTCCAAACCCATCTTAGTCGGTATGTTGATCAAAGAATATAACAACATGGAACAAGCTAAAAATCGCGAGTTAAAAACACTTTTCTTTGTTCAATTTTTTTATTTATCCAAATATAACTTAAGACTGTTAAATTTTAAATATAACACAAAGAAAATGTTTTTGTATCTGCAGCTGGAAAACAATCAGAAAATCTAGACGAAGTGGAAGCCAAATTGAAGAAAGCAATCACTAAAAACTTTACCGAGGTCAAACAGGTATGTTTGGGCAAAGAACATTATTGCAAAACATTTTGTTATGAACATCAAGCTTTTGAAGATAAAATTAATGAATGTTAAAATTCACTGTGAAAAGAAAATGTTTCTTCAGCCCAATGGAATAATATATTTGTTAAGGTATATATCTGATTTCAAAGTTACAAATCAATGAGAAATATGGGTGAATCTAGTTTTTTTTCGAGTGAGGGTGACGGACTTTCAAAAAACTGAAGCATAATGCTGTTAAATTTTTTTTCCCGCTGGAAACTTTTGCAAAAATGAGCCAAAAAATTTGTGGCAACTTTTGTATAATTGAGCCAAAAATTTTTTCGAAAGTTTTTTTTTAAGGCAAGCCCTCAAACTTAGTATTTATTGAGCCCTAGTCACTCTAAGAAAACTTTTAGGGTTGGCCATACCCCTCCTAAATCCGCTTCTATGTGTTTCTGTAGCTGTTCCAAGTGTACGACCGAGATGATACTCTGCACGTGACAGTGAGTGACTTGAAGAGAGTGTTGACTGAAGGCATGGGAGTAGACTTGTCTGAGTCACAGTTCACTCAATTGGTGGATGGTCCATTGAGACACTTGCGCAACAAGACTGGCTGCGTGAACTATGTCCTGTTCATGCAGGAGAGATTTGATAAGTCATCTATGAAGGAAGCATCTAACTGGCTACAACTCATGAGCAAGTGAGTTTTGAATATAAAATTCTATAACATCAAGGCTCTATGCTCTAAGTTAAAATTAAATGTTTTTTTTTTTCTGGGTTACATCTCACAAAAGATTTCTAACTCGAACTCTTGCTTGCACTTGAGCAGCAAGTATATCAAAGCCTGTCGATTTTTGCTTCAATAATGGTACCACGTGAACTTTCTTGACGCAAAACAAGGACAAGGAGGCACATAAAAAAGAATCTCATTCAAAATTGTAGAAAATGAGTAAATAAAACAGAAGGGTTCGCCTTCGACAGGCTCACGGCCTTTAGAGACTAATATCAAAATTCGCAACACATTAAAATACATATCGAAACAAGGACAGTCAGTTACTGTGCAAGTAGCCCAGATTGTCCCGATAATAGTCGTATAAAATGTAAAGAAAAATACAAATTGTTCCGACATAGTCTTAAAAAATACAAAAGATCTGAAAGAAAAAACTGAACCTAAGCATTTTGTAAGTACTAGTAAAAAAACATACTGGAAAACAGTTTTTTTACAGAAACTTTTTTAATTTTTGAAGTTTTTGATTCCCAAAATCTCGCTAAAAAACCCCAAAAACTAACTTAACTCGAGTGAAACTATGTCAACACTATGAATTGTTTCCAAATCATCTCACAAAAAAGAATTTCAAATGAAGATGAGTTTTTAGGTGTTCGAATTATGTTCTATTAGTTGATGCGCAAACGAGGGCGCCATATTGTACAACTATTTGAAAAAAAAATTTATAGGAAAAAAGCAGTTTTTTTAGTTCAATTTTCTCAGTCTCTTTAAAAGTATGCAGTATTGGCTTTTTCCCGAAAAATTATCAGATTTTTGAGCTTGAATTTTGTCTATTATTCCAAGATAATTGAATATTGTGGGTTTTTCAATTTTTTTGCCCATGAATTTATTATCTGTACAAAATTTAACAGCTTTTTTTTGGTTTCCTACGAAGAAATATGGTTTCAATTTTTTCCGCGTGAAGTGTTAGTTCAATGCTTGCGACCTAATTTTGCGACCCAATGCTTGCGACGTAATACTAGCCTGAGGACTAATGACTTTTTATATCATTTTTATACCAGATTATTATAATTGGAAATTAAGAAAAAAACTTGCTTCAACCTTTACTTTTTTTTGATAAACAGTTTTCTTTTTTTTTAGCTACTAATTGTTCTAACATTTTTTGATGCAGCAAGCCTTTTAAATGGTTCAGATTTTAATAACTTTTGTGGCCTTTTTTCATTATCAATCCAGACTTTTTGCCGCTTCTTGGAGGTACTTGTTTCTGTGATAACTAAATCAACGCTCCTGTGCTCTCAGCCTCTTTTTTCATATGATTTTGATTGTTTTCCAGTTTTTGATGCAAATTTGTTGGTCAGTCATTTTTTCAAGAACATAACCTGTTTTTCTAGTAAGCTCAGTTTTTTGTCTGTTGTTTTTGTACTCATGGAACCTGATGTTTGAGCTGTCTTCAAACCACCACGAAAATCACTCCATTTTAACCAGAATAGAAAATTGAGTTAGAAATAAATAGTTATTATTTATGATCAAACTTTTTCTAGTTAGTTAACTTTTTTTGAAATGACTATTGGATTTTAAATTCAATTTCGAATCATATATTTGAAGCTAAAATCAGTGAAGGTCAACTGACTGATTTTCAAACGCAATTTTTCAAGTAGTACTTCTTAGCCAGCGCTGATTCAAGATTGTTTTATCAAAAAAACATCAATGAACATTTATAAATGGTTGATAAACTTATGATGCGCCAAGTTATATCATAGTTAATTTATGTTTCTGACTGCCCTTCAGTTGAGATTCGTACGACACTTATAACCTAAAAAAACCGTTTCGAGGTTTTTGATTTTTAGCGTAATAAATCAGGCTTTTTTATATAGATAATCACAGTTTTATGATTAGGGCCTCAAATTTCAGTTGTACTCCATTAAATTCATTTTTACAACTTATTTAGCGCCATTTGGGGAAAAAATTGTAGATTTTTTTGTTGTTTTGTTAATCTTTATTTACTTCTAAGTAAAAACTGTTGTCGAAGATGCCTGTCTTACTTTTACTATCGAGTCTTTCTAAGTTCTATGCTTTCGTTGAATAAAATATCATCCACCACAGACAAAGTTAACACATTGTGAGAAAGAAATGTTTTGTTATTTTGTTGTGGAAATTTTTGTGCTACTTACACAGTAAACGGTTATTCTTGTTGTCGGGATAGATCCTCTCCAATTCGCATAAATTAAAATAAGATTTTTTCTGATATAGTTTGAGCGTCGATAGAGCGTGAGTAAAGGATGATTCATCACTCTAGCTTCATCTCCACATAATCATAATGACCAAAATAAATGCACAATACTACTATACTAAGATTTTTGGAATCAAAATTAAAGTTTGAAAAATAATACAAAAATTCGATAAAATAAACGATTGACTTACTAAGTCTGCTGGAGTTTTTCAACCACATAGTCATCATTTTTCATAATTTGACTTCTGTGTGTTTTATCAAACCCTCCAATTTGAACAGTTTTAATTTTTCAAAAAATTTTAACTTGTTTTTGTGTCGCGGCAGACGTATGCGTACGCAGTCGCCGCAGCCTGATGTGAACATGGACAAGATAGAGAGGGGTTTGAGGGAGAAGATATCTCTCAACCTGCACAACATCCTCAGGGCACTGCACCTGTTCGACTACAACAGGGACGAACATGTGCAGAAGCACGAGATGCGGAAGGTACTGGAGAACTTCTGCTTCCGCATGACAGACACCCAGTTTGACAGGTACGCTCACTTCACCCTATGCTTATAACTGAACAAAACTCAACGAGTTAGTATTACTTATTTGTGGGTTTAGAGGTTACAAAGCAAAACAAGACTGCTCGTATCAGGGCGAAGCCCTGAATGTTCCGACTGCCTTTTAAGGTTTATTGAGCAGCAGTAATATATTTAAAAAATTAAATGAAATAAAACAAAATGAAATTTTTTTCTTCTAAAATTTGAAATTTTTTAAATGAAAATCATCCCCCCACACGCCACATAAAGGACAAAAAGATAGATTTCGTTCCTTGTACCAAATCAATTATGGCAAATAAGCTTCGTTCAACCAATTTGGAACGATTTATAAGACGGATTAAATCTCCGCTTACGCGTTAATAGCGCGAGTTATGTTGCGCGTTAATTGTCCCAAATTGGTCAAAATGGCAATCTTTAAACCCCCATAACTTTACGAAAAATGATCACAGGTGAAATATTTTTTCAAATTTAAGCTCAGTTCAACAATACCTTTTGAATGATATAAAAAAATTCCGTCAAAAATGGCTAGTTAAAAAGTCGAAATTTGTCTGAAGAAAAAAAAACCCACCCCGAGCACAAATATTCCGTTACTTTCGTATCGAAAGTCGGAACAACAACAGAAGGCTAGGAGCGCAAAATAGCCAGACCAGGCGATCGATTTGTTTTCAAACAAAACAAGACTGCTCGTATCAGGGCAAAGCCCTGAATGTTCCGACTGCTTTTTCAGGTTTATTGAGCAGTAGTAACATAAAAAAATTAAATATAATTAAAAAAATGAAAAATTTTTTCTAAAATTTGAATTTTTTTATGAAATGATCCCCCCACACGCCATATAAAGTTTAAAAGAATAGATTTTGCTCGTTGTAACAAAACAATTATGGCAAATAAGCTTCTTTCAACCAATTTGGAACGATTTAAAAGACGGACAAGACTGCTCGTATCAGGGCGAAGCCCTGAATGTTCCGACTGCCTTTTAAGGTTTATGGAGCAGTAATAAAATTAAAAAACTCACTGAAATAAAACAAAATAAAATTTTTTTTTTTCTAAAATTTGAAATTTTTCATGAAAATTATCCCCCACACGCCATATAAAGTACAAAAGGATAAATTTCGCTCCTTGTAACAAACCAATTATGGCACATAAGCTTCTTTTAACCAATTTGGAACTATTTCTAAGACGGATTAACTCTCCGCTTACGCGTTAATAGAGCGAAATATATCGCACGTTAATGTACCAAATTAGCCAAAATGGCGATCTTTAAACCCCCGTAACTTTACCAAAAATGATCACAGGTGAAATATTTTTTCAAATTTGAGCTCAGGACAACAATACCTTTCGAATGATATAAAAAAAATCCGTCAAAATTGGCTGGTTAAAATGTCGAAATTTGTCTGAAGAAAAAAACCCACCCCGAGCACAAATATTCCGTTACTTTCGTATCGAAAGTCGGAACAATTAAATCTCCGCTTACGCGTTAATAGCGCGAAATATATCGCGCGTTAATTGTCCCAAATTGACCAAAATGGCAATCTTTAAACCCTCATAACTTTACGAAAAATGATCACAGGTGGAATATCTTTTCAAATTTAAGCTTAAGACAACAATACCTTTTGAATGATAAAAAAAAATTCTGTCAAAAATGGCTAGTTAAAAAGTCGAAATGTGTCTGAAGAAAAAAAAACCCACCCCGAGCACAAATATTCCGTCACTTTTGTATCGAAAGTCGGAACAACTACGAATGATCATGTAATTCAAAAACTGGACCCAAAACAGACCTGACTAACAATTTTTTAGTAAAAAAACGTTGCATGTTACATGATTTTACAATTATTAAACTTTTTCCGCTGTCCTTTTCAGCAAAAATTTCGGTCAAATTAAATGTCGAGTAAAAATGCATCTAAAACGAATGGTGCGTACCATTTAAAAATAATAAGCTCAGAATATAGCGAACTCAAATCACTGCAAAGAGGAAATTCATTTGAACATTTGTATTTTGTTTTTTTTTGGGCAAATAGAGAAGATAGAAATTAGGTTTCATAGCCAGTAAAGCATGAGAAATCTAAATCAGCAGCAATCAACTCAGATCGGTGACCCAGCAGTCCTTTTCATCAACTCACCCTACCCTAGCAGTACACTGGCTGAATAGCATAAAAATTAAGGTACTTGCAAACAAATATTGATAGCGGGTTACATTTATATCTGCGAAAGCTTTTTAAAAAATGAGAAATTAATTTGTTTTTTTTTTAAATGTTTTTTCTTGGCAGGGGAGGGAATATTTAATAAAATGCCATTTGAAAAGATAGGTTTTAAAAATTGGCAAAAAATTTATTCCAACTAGTAGAGCCGGTTGCTGTGCAAGTAGTGATATTTCCGATTTTCTCCAACGGTTGGTCACATGACGAATGTCACTTCTGTTTGACCGAGGACACGAGCGGAACATCCTCGGAAATGACAACCTACCCAAAGTGGGAATAGAAGTTTAACAGAAGTGTTTTCCACACTTCCAAACAAACCAGTTGTGTAAGTCCATAAATTTTATCTCACCAACAGATAACGAAAAAGAAATCACAAACATCTCTAAAACATTTAAAAACTTATTCCTTCGGATTGGAAAAATAAAAAATCAGATGAAAGTTACACATTTTCACGAACCACAAAAATCCATCCAACTAAAAGGAAGACGAGTCCCCCTCCCCTTACTGGATTCAGTTGAAACTGAGCTTAATAGATTAAAAGACGAAGGACATTTTAAAAAAATTGAAAACTGCGGCGAAGATCGTTTTATTAGACCAATCGTCATTGATTGTAAAAAAGACAAATCGATCAAATTGGCTCTGGATTCCAAATTTTTTAACAAACAGATATACAAGAATAAGTACCAGATGCCGAATATTCATGAACTGGTAGACAATGTAGCGGCACAAATAGTAAATGATTCCGTTGGAGGAGTGTGGTTTACAAATTTAGATTTAAAAAATGCATGCAGCCAACTCGCTTTACACAAGTTTACCAGCAACCAATGTAATTTTAGTATAATGGGCGGCAATATTAATGGCACTTACCAATATTCAACTGGTTTTTACGGTTTAAGCGATATGCCTAACGAATTCCAAAGAGTAATGGACTCAAATTTAGGTTCTATCCCCTTTACCAACTGCTACTTGGATGCTATTTTAATTGCATCCAAAGGAACTTTCTTAGACCACAAAAACATTGTGTTAAAAAGTTTACCTACATTAGTCAAATAATTTCGCAGTTAAATGGTCAAAGTGTACATTCTTTCAAAAAGAAATTGAATGGTTGGGATTTAAAATCTCAAACACAGGAATTTTCCCTTTATTTGACAAAACGGAAGCGATAAAGGACTTACCTATTCAAAAAACCTGAAAGAATTGAGATCATTTTTTGGATATAAAAATCAGTACACCAAATTTGTACCGAACCTAGCTTCCTTAGGAAGCCCACTCAGACCTCTACTGAATAAAAAATTGATCTTCTAGTAGAATTCAGACCAAATAAAGGCATTTGAAAAAATCAAACAAGAAATCATCAACCTCACGGAAAATACACATTTTGACGTAAAACGTACAACTAGAGTAAAAACAGACGCGCTTCACACAATGGGTTGGGGGCTTCACTTGAACAACTCCACGGGAGTGATGGGAGAACGATTTCTTTTGCCTCACGGTTTTTAAACCCCCATGAGTCAAAATATTCCACCAAGGAACTCGAACTGTTAGGAGTCGTCTGAGCTGTTGAACACTACAAAAAAATTACATTTATGTTTCACATTTCTAAAAAAATTATAGATCACAAAGCACTGCTTTCAGCTCTGTCAACAAACCACGGAAACAAAACGTATCATAGCAGACTAACAAGATGGGTGGATAGATTACTACCTTTTAACTTTACAATCAAACACCTCGCAGGAAAAGATACGGGTTTTAATGATTTAATTTCAAGAATTCCACCAAAAAAACTTTACCGATATCTCATTATGACAAAAAACTTGTAGTAGAAATTATCAAAAAAATTATTAAATCAATCAATCTGTCGGAGAAACAAAGAAAGACCTGCTTAGCCATTGGTTCAAATTTGGAAATTTCTGGTTACGCAAAATTACATAATTACCTTATAGCATCAGTTTTAAAACTGATTAACTCGACTTTTCCAATTTGTTCATCTAGTCACTATAGAACTGAATTTTGTACTTCAAATTGCATTCCTACGGATTATTCCAACACAAATTCTTTAATTATTTCTATTTCTAACCCCGCATTTTTTTATTTCTTAATTCTTAATTGTAGATTAATTTATTTCATCTGAAGGTTGAAAAATTGTAGATACTGTTAATATGGAGAATTATAAAATCGTAACTAATCCGTCTACCTCCGGTATTTCAATATCTTTAGATTTCCCTTTATTGGAAGATTGCCAGAATCTTGTAAAAAATACCGTGAAAATGTGAAGTTGCCCGATCGTCCCTTGGATTTAAATACTCTTTTTGACGCCAAGCTTGTAGCTCTCCTGACTGAAGACGACCATATGTTGAGCCCTATCGTAGAAACACTTCAAAACAAAGTTGTGACGATTAATGCGAACTCCTCTTACTTCAAACACTTTACCAGAGATTTATTTGAATCCGATGGATTGTTTTACATGGATGGCAAACTTGTTATACTGTTTACCCTGAGGAATGCGATGATGAAGACTTTCCATGAAACCCATCCTGGTCAATTTGGAATGAAGTATTTGGCCCAATACATCTGGTGACCCATATTAACAGGCAAATTTACTTTCACGGCATAAACTGCTCAGAATTTACTCCCAATTCGTAAGCCAGTGAACTCCCCCCCCCCCACTAGAACCAAACGAGGAACTTAACCTAGGTTTCGCTGGACCTTTAGATTCATATTGGGGATCAAACAAATACATTTTACTTTGCAACGATCGATTTTCTAAAATTCCTTCGGCAAAAATTACCTCAT